GGAAGAAAGCTACCTCGCCCACTGACTGGAAGAGATCCATATTTGTGCCCGTTCCAGACAGGTGATCCAACAGAACGTGGAAATTATCAAACAATATCATTAATATTACACACAAGTAAAATTTTGCTGAAGATCATTTCAAAAATGGTTGCAGCAGTACATCAACAGAGAACTGTCAGAAATTCAAGCTAGATTCAGAAGAGGACATGGAACAAGGGATATCATTGCTCATATCAGATGGATCTGGCTGAAAGCAGAGAATACCAGAAAGATGTTTACTTGTGTTTTATTGACTATGCAAAGATATTTGACCATGTGGATCATAACAAATTGTGGATAACATTGCGAAGAATGGGAATTCCAGAACATTTAACTGTGCTCACACAGAACATGTACATAGGCCCAGAGGCAGTCATTAGAATAGAAATAAACATGGTGAGATTTTGTCTCAGCTACTTTGGACATGTTATCAGGAGGGATCAGTCCCTGGGGTCAGCAAAAAAGAGGAAGACCCTCAACTAGATGGACTGATACACTGGCTGCAACAATGGGCTCCAAAATAGCAACGATTGTGAGGATGGCGCAGGACTGGGCAAAGTTTCGTTCTGTTGTACACTGGGTTGCTATGAATCGGAACCGACTCGACGGCACCTAACGACAACGACAACATTCCATAGTATGGATGTATCACAGTTTGTTTAACGATTCGTCCTTTAAAAGACACCTGGGCAGTTTCTAGTTTTGGGCTATGATGAATAAAACTGTTATGAACATTTTTGTGCAAGTTTCTGCATGAAAACAAGTGTTCATTGTTCTGGGATAAATGCCTAAGAGTGCAATTGCTGGTTGTATACTAAATCAATTTTTATTTTTTAAATGAATTACCATTTTCCAGAGTGGCTATGTCATTTTACACTGTACCAGCCGTGTATGAGTGAGTGGTTTTATCACTATTTTTCATGTTAGCCATTCTGGTAGGTGGGTAGTGTTATCTCATTGCACTTTTAATTTACATTTCTCTAATAAGTAATGATGCTGAAGATCTCCCAACAAGAAAAGAAGGCAGTACACCTGTGTGGTAGACAGAATTTTCAAAAATTCACACAATAACTCCCATTCCATGTGCTCTTTTTACAATATACTTAATTTTCCTCCCACGGAGAGGGTTCTCTATTCCCTCCCCTTTCAGCCTGGAAGGGCTTGTAACTACATTGGCAGTGTCACTATGTGATCTTTCAGGCTTGGTCATAAAAATGCCATACACCTTGTTTTCTTGGGATGCTCACTCTTGGAATGCAGCCACCATGTTGTCAGGAAGCCCAGGCTACATGAAGAGGTCACACTGTAGTGGTTTCTACTGACAGCTCCAGCTGAGCTCCCAGCTAACAGTCAGTACTTACTTCCTGACATGTGAAGAAGACTTCTAGATGGCTGCAGCCCCAGCCACCATCCAACCACAAGTCAGAGTGGAACTGCCTGGCTGAGCCCAACCATGCCAGAATCATGTGAGATAATGATAAAATGACTGTTATTGTTTTACAACATTAAGTTTTGTGGTGGTTTGTTACATGGCAATAGATAAACAAAAATTTCTTCTGCACTATTTCACTATTTAACCATACTCAGTAGGTTTGTATTAAAATGTACTCTCAGCCTTTCTTGGAGCAGCCATACTCCATCTCTGTTTTTTACAAAAAAAAAAAGGTTCTTTGATCTGTAGAAACTGAAGAAGCCCATTGGAGTCAATATGGCATTCTGAAACGTGAACGAGCAAACTGGCCAGCATGGTCAAGAGGCACAGGATCCACTCAACTGCTGTTCCCTCTGCCTGCAACACTCTTTCCCCAGATAGCAACATGGTCCACTTCCTCACACGTCTCTGCTGTAATGTCATCACAAGGGAAGGGTCTTCTCTGTCCAGCCTTTATAACAGAGCACCTCCTCATCACTCTCCATCCTTGCTCACCTAAATTAATCATGAGAGAAATCTTAGCACTTATCACTGCCTGTCTGCTATCTGGTTATGATTTTATTTATCTGTTTATTATCACACTTCCTGATCCCCCAAGTAAGCTAGATGATAGTAGTGATTTTGCTTTGTTCATCCTTAGGACCTAGAACAACAGCATCTGTCACATAGCAGGCATTCAGTAAATATTTATTGAATGAATGAATGAGTGAACAAACCAGTAAGACTTGAAAGCACTGGCAGTGTCCCCACCCCTGTGAGCTCTTTCCTGGGTGCATGGAGGTGCAGGAGATATTTAAGATGTATGTTCTGCCCTTGAGAATGACAATGGAATGATTAATAATCTTTTGGACAATGTGGGGTTGGGAGCTCTTAAAGTCCCCTGATGGAACAATGAATTATTGTCTAACCTTATGTTGATTTTGACATCTGATGTGTACTTACAGCAAGGAAGAATTCACCATCAATTTCCAGAAACAGGGAAAGAAAGTATGACTCTAAACTGGCTGTCCTTCTTTGTTTTCTCTGTAGGTACTAGTTCTGAGAGCCAATTCATGGACCAGTTCAATGCTCTGCAAATTGTGTTCTGCGATCGTAGCCTCGCCAAGGTGCTTCCGTACTGAGTCAGGCCAGGCAAGGATTCTTGCCCTTTTCCTACAGCTCCCCTGTTCTATGGGAGATTACGCAAAAATAGCCACACATTTGTCCCCTCCTAGTCTCCACATCCTCTTGCAATGTGACTTTGCAGTTTCTCCCATCAAGAGGTGAAGTCTATTTCCCTGCCCCTTGAACCTGGACTTGGCCATGGGACATTGGCAAGCATGATATAAGCAGGCGGTTGAAAACTGCTTGTATTTTGGGTTTGCCTCTCCTGATGCTCTTGGGAACCTTGCCACAGCCACCATGTGGATAAGTCTGGGCTAGCTTGCTGGAGGTAGGAGGGGCCTGGTTGTGCAGTGGTTAAAGCACTTGGCTGCTAACTGAAAGGTCAGTGGTTCAAACCCACCAGCTGCTCCGTGGGAGGAAGATGTAACAGTCTGCTTCTGTAAAGATCACAGCCTTGGAAACCCTATGGGACAGTTCTACTCTGTCCTATAAGGTAGCTGTGAGTCTGAATTGACTCGATGGCAAAGGTAGTCTGCTGAGGTGTCTCTGAGTGATGCAAACAGTTAACATGTTCAGCTGCTAACCAAAGGTTGGAAGTTTGAGTCCACCCAGAGACACCTCAGAAGAAAGGCCTGGAGATCTTTGAAAAATCAGCCACTGAAAACGCTATGGATCACAGTACTACTCTGACTCACATCTCACATGGGGTTGCTACAAGTTGGAATTGACAGCAGCTAGTTAGGCTGCGGGGAGATGAGTGATACATGGCCCAGTTACTTCCATTGTCCTAGCTGAGAATGAGTGTATCACCATACAGATGAGTGAGGCCATCAACTACAGGCTGAGTGGAAATGCCTGAGTGAGCTCAGCTGATAGGATACACGGGCTGTCCCAGCTGAGGTCATCCCACATGCCAACTCACACAACTATGAGCAATAAATGGTTGTCATTTTAAGCTACAAAGTACCGGGGTGGTTTGTTAGGTAGCAAAAGCTGACTGACACATGCTCCAATATGCTTTACAAAAAAAATTTGTGAGATCAGTGCAAAAAGTAGGAATTTACAACTGTTTATTAAACATAATCCCAAGTTTTCAAATTATGTATCCATGTACATATGGGAAAATGAGAAGTGGAATGATGAGTGATCTTTATTTTATCCTTTATACTTTTCTGAGTTTATAACATTTTCTACAATAAAATTTACAATCTTTTAAAAACAAATCAGAAAAGCCAAAGTGGGCAGTTTCTTCTGGCTGGCCTCTGATCATTCCTGGACAAATTCTAATACGACATGAACTTTTTTGTGTAGCTGAGGTTGTTGGGTTGTACAAAAGGGAGACATCAAAGGGATGGCTGGCTCCATTCATTCCAGGGCCACTACCTGTGGTGGGAGTTTCAGAGGGTCAAAAGGGCCTCAATGGTGAAAATCTATACTCCAAAATGCCTCCATCTAACAAAGCCTTCCGTAGAATACCAAGTCATTATTTCTTTGGCTCTTATAGTGTATGTTCTGTACCCTGGTGTGGCTGATGAGTTTCAGCAGCATCTTTTGAGCAGGTTGCAGTGATGGGAAACCCAGAAATCTGAGCTTGGAGATATGCTAGTGTGCTGCATATAGTCTAGACATCTTCCCTCAAGATCCATTCTCTTCCCTTCTCCAATCCCTGGGGGGCCAACCTGTGTTGACTACACTGATGGCTTCCAGCTGGGTTCAGCCAATGGGGAGCACCAAGGAAGGAGCAAAATGAGATTGGGGTATTTATTTCTCCAGCTCCCATTCTGCAGGTTCACTGTGGTCTGTCTGTCTTTCACTAAAGATCAAAGCACTGGGCAGGGAGTCCTCTTCACACAACCATCTCTATTTCCAGCTTCTAGTAACCAGTCAACCACATCACATCTTCAGGCATGCATGATAAGAGTGGTACTCCACTCTGAAGTACTACGCTAATCCTATGCATTATTCCTTATAATTTTCCTACACATGCCCACACCTTTATAAACTGTCCATTTATCAAACTCTCCTCAAATTACCCAAGTGGAACTTGTCATCTGTTTCCTGCAGAGACTCCGAGAGATACTGCAGACACGCATATTCACAATAACAAGGTGGACACAGCCCTAGAACAGTTTCTCTCCTACAACAGAAACAAGAACATGGCAAAAAAGAAAAGAAGTTTCCATTACTTCCTACGCTCATTGCTAAGGTGGAAAATTATCCATCAAATTCAGGTCATGGGTAATCCTGACTAACAGGATGACACAAAGAATAATAATTTCCTTTTAGTAAGTCTTCTGGGAAGGGCAGTGACTGACTTGTAACTAAGAAAAATTAGAATTATGAGAAAGTGTTCTTAGGCGGATAATGCCCACGATGGACGAAATGACAAGGTAAACCATGGAGGGGCCAAACATGACAGTCTTACCCGGCCATCACTGGTCAGGAGGATGGAGTCACTCTTGATGTCCCTGTGGATCACTCCTTGGTGGTGAAGGTAGGAGAGGGCTCTCAGAACTGACAGACAGACGGTAGCTATCTGTTCTTCATTCATTCTAGAAAGGAAATGACATTCAAGGAGCAAGGACAGGTTTAACAACATCTCTGAAATGATCAAGAGAGGCAGATGCTTTGAGTTCTTATGAACCAGTCCAGGCTCCCCAGCCCATGAATGGAAAATCTGCAGTCAAGGAAAAGCAAGTCTTTGGGATCTGAGTCTTGGAACATAATATTCACAGTGCCACCACCGCCAACACCATCCTTGGTACTGAGGATGACAGGGGCCAAATATAAGCCAAAGGAAAGAGACCCCCATTTGTTGGCTTTTGGGTCATCAATACCAATGACTTCCATGGACTCTTAGATAATTCCTGAGGCATCAGCAAACCTCCGAAGTCCTACAGAGAGAGCACACTGAATAAGTGGACTGAGGTGCCGGGGTGGCTGCCAGGTGACCTTGAGCAAGGACTTTCATTTCCCCAGATTGCTGTTTCCTCATCTTGGAAATGAAACAACCAGTTCTCTTCAAGGCTAGACTTGGGCAAATGGTCTTTAGACACCTAAACTCCCCTTCTGCGACCTCTCTCTACCTCCCACCAACCCTCCCTTTCCCGTTTCCAGGAGATAGAGGTTTTGTTGTTCCAAGTCCCTCTTGTTAGAAGGAAACTGGACCTTGGAGTTACTAAAAAATAAGGAGTCCCTGGGTGGTGCAAACAGTTAACGTGTTTGGCTGCTAACTGAAAGGTTGGGGGTTTGAGTCTACCCAGAGGCACCTCAGAAGAAAGGCCTGGCAATCTATTTCCAAAAAATCAGCCACCGAAAACTCTATGGAACACAGTTCTACTCTGACACACATGAGGTCACCATGAGTTGGATTTAACTTGACGGCAACTGGCAACAAGTGTGAATGGATATCATTTTAAAATTAAATTAAATTTTATTTATTTTGTTGTTACTGTTAAGAATATACACAGCAAAACGTACACCAATTAATAGTTTTTAAACAGTGAACCATGGGGAAGAGAAAGACCAAACACAGCGCTGTATTATGCATGCCCACATTTCCTGCCTGTGCCCCTGTAAGGAAGGCATTCCTGGTTCAGAGGAGGACATGGAGGCCGAGTGACTTGTCTAAGGTTAGGCAGCTGAGAGTGGCCAGGTCACAATTCAAACCTCATCTCTTTTTGAGTTGGAAACCCATGCGTTTCTATTTTTCCCATCGTACCACACTGCCTTGAAGCTCAAAAGAATGGATTTTTGTAAGGAGTGAAAGAATTCAGCCACTGGGAAATCTAGGTAGGAACAATTATCTGGACAGCTGGGGCTGCTCAGCATACTCAAAAGGATCCATTCAGGCGTCTGCTTTACTCTTTCACATGTACAACTTCCTCCCTGTCACAGAGCTGTTGTGAGGCAAAAATTAGACAACAAAGGTGAAAGTGCTCCTATGATGGTGAGTTCTATGTGTCTACCTCACTGGGCCAGTTAAACACTAATCTCAGTGTTGCTGGGAAGGTATGTTGTAGATGTGGTTGACATCTACAGTCAGTTGACTCTTTTAAGTAAGGGAGATTACCCTCGATAACATGCGTGGGCCTCATCCAATCACTTGGATGGCCTTAAGGGCAAAAATGGAGGTTTCTCAGAGAGAAGAGATTCTGCCTCAAGACTGAAATGTTAACTCCTACTGAAGTCTAGCCTGTTAGCCTGCCCTACAGATTTTGGACTTGCCTACCTCTATAATCAGTCCAGCCAATTCCTTAAAATATAACTATCTGTGTATCTGTGGAGTCCCTGGGCGGCAGAAATGATTAAGCATTCAGCTGCTAACTGAAAGACTGGCAGTTCAAACCCAGAGGTGCCTCAGAAGAAAGGCCTGGAGATCTGCTTCTGAAAGGTCACAGCCATGAAATCTGTATGGAGCACAGTTCTACTCTTCACACATGGGATTGCCGTGAGTCAGAACTGACTTGAAGACAACTGGTTAGTTATATGTCCTATTGGTTCTGTTTCTCTGGAGAACCCTGACTGATACAGGTATCCCCCACTTTTCGAAAGTCCGTTTTACACCTCTTCGCTTTTAGGAAAGACCTACATTACTACCTGTCTTCTTCCCAGGTCCCTCAAGGCCTCTGCCCTCACCTCGTTCCTCTCTGCCTAGCCCATCCCTGGGCTGCAGAGGTGGCTCTCAGTCCCTCTGGGAAGGCCGAGATGCGGGACACTCGTGGACACACGAACTGGGGAGGGCGGTCACCCCTGGGGTGTGGCAGCCCTAACTCTGGAAGGGGGCAGCCTTCAGGGCCTGTGTCCCAGTTAGGGGATGTCTCTGTCCTGGCCAAGCTCCGTCCCTGGGAACTACACAGCATCTTAGCATCAAGCTGCCATAGCATTGAACTCTGTCTGTGAGCATCTGTGCTGTATCTCGATTTATTGTATCATTCCTGCTTTTACTATATGCTAGTGTTATTTTAGGTTTTATGTGTTATTTGGTATGATATGGTAAGTTATTTTTTGGGTCTGAGAATGCTGAAAAACTTTTCCCATATAAATTAACTGTAACTGCTTCTTCACTTTATGCCATTTCGGCTTACGAAAGGTTTCATAGGAATGCTGTACTTTTGGATAGCAGGGGAAACCTGTACAGCACCCGAAACAAACTATTATGCACACAGAGGAGGCTGTCAAGAGGGACAGAGGGTGTAACTGACCGGAGCCCAAATTTAAGGACTGCCTTGGGAAACTACAATAATCACAGGTAAATATTAGCTCAGACGGACAAGAAAACTGATAGACTTGAATGAGTGTTTCAGTCTTGTTGATGTCAGCAAACCCTGAGTCACACTGGGATTCAAAAATAAAACCCAAAGAAATACTCGGGAGAACACTGAAGGCATACATTTGATGAGTATGACGAGACACACCCTTTTCTTCAAAGAGGCGCTAGCAGCAATGAATCAGTCTCGTACAAAGGCAGGTGAGAATAAACGTTTTTGCCTGAGACAGGAAACTTCCACCCTCTGAGCTCTCCGTTTTTTGGCGAGTGTGCCGGACCGTTGGCAGATGACAATTTTCACATCTGCCAAACGCACATCCCTCAGAGGTTTCGAGCATCAGCAGCATGGACAAGCTCAAACCAAAACCACCATCTTGAAAATCATTCATTTTTTTTTTGGAAGCCATAAGATTTGAATTATTTGAAGCCAGCATAAAGATTCTTCACTGGTCAACTACAACAAAACTTAAAATCGTATCTCAGCCCCAATCACTAACTGAAAAATCACCTTTGATTCCTAACTCTATAGTTTCAAAATTGGCAGGGCCAGATGACTGATGTTTTTCTGCTTTTGCAGAGAGGAAAGCTGGTATGGGAGAAAGATATCTCAGTTCTAGAGTCAACCCCAGCTTCCAACCCTGGTTCTGTCACTTATCAAATGTGTGACCTTGAGCAAGATAGTTCTCAGTGCTGAGCCGTAGCTTCATCATCTGTCAGACAGTTATAGTAACACCTACTTATAGAGATGAGTGACGATTACACAAGATAAAGCATAAAGAACCTGACGGTGCTTGCCACTTTCCCTTCTGGACCCTCTGTTGCCTGGAAATCAGTACGATGTAATTTAACAACGTGCTACGATAGTGCTCAAACTTCAGTATACATACGAAACACCTGAGTGTCTAGCTGAATTGTGAACTTCCCTTCAGTAGGTTTGGGGTGGAGCCCCGGTGTCGCAGTGGTTAAGAGCTCCGCTGCTAACCAAAAGGTTGGCAGTTGGAATCCACCAGCTGCTCCTTGGAAGCCAGATGGGGGCTTTTCTACTCTGTCCTACAGGGTCATTATGAGTTGGAATTGACTCGATGGCAACAGGTTTAGGTCTGAGGTGGGGCCAGAGATTCTGCATTTCTACCGAGCTCCCAGGTGATGTGGATAATGCTGGTCTTCAGACCACACTTTGAGTAGCAGTGGGGGTTAGGTGTTTTATTAACCAACCAGTCAATCACTCAATAAAGCACTTACTGAATATCTACTACAGGAAACCCTCTGATTATCAGTTTAGGGATTTCAAATTCCAAATTGTGTTCTTTGGTACACAATTTCTTCTTGTTCTCTGGAGCTACCCTGCTTTCAAGGGGGTAAATTAGTTGACAAAAGTTGAAGAAAATTAAAAAATACAATGGGTTACAGAGAAAATCAAACCAAACCAAACCCGTTGCCATTGAGTCGACTCCGACTCATAGCGACCCTATAGGACAGAACAGAACTGTCCCATAGGGTTTCCAAGTAGCAGCTGGTGGATTTGAACTGCCGACCTTTTGGTTAGCAGCCTGAGCTTTTAACCACTGTGCCACCAGGGCTCCAAGAGGCTACCCCTTAATAGGCTCCCACAGATACAAAATAAGAATCAAAAGGAATCTTGACAAAGGGAGAACTCTAGAGAGACATGTATCGCTATCTGAAGTTCCACCAAGGCAAGAAAAAAGCCCTCCCTTGGACATACTTTGATGAGTTGTTTTACACATAAATCACATCTGTCTTATTCTTAGGTCCCTCCAGCATATTTGTTTGTCCAAATTAAGACGATCTTACGTGTTTGTTGGTGGGGTGGGTCAGGCACATCCTATGCTACAACAACAAGAATCTGCCAGCTTAGATGCTGGCAATAAAAGTTAGCATCTTCACTCACATCCCTTTGTTTTCAGATGGTCTACTAGAGACTGAGTGCTGTAGGGGACCATGATTGAAACATTGCTCAAATCAGTGGAGGAACACCAGCCTATTCTATCTCTCCAAAGTTTTCTTGTTACCTTGCTTTTCATCTATTGTTGCTCACCTGGATCCATGTCTGATTAACACCCAATACCTCCCCTTCATGACAATCCTCTCTTAACTCTTTGGTATTTTATTTCCCTGCAAGACCAAACTTGAAGTTTTCCAGATTGATCATGCGGTTATATATGTCTGTGCCTTAGAACCTTCTTACTCCAAGGGTGGTTCGTGAACCAGAAATATTGGCATTCCCTGGGAGCTTGCTAGAAATGCAGAGTCTTAGGCCCCTTCCTAGTGAATCAGAAATTGCACTGTATAAGATCCATAGGTGATTTGTATACATACTAAAATTTGAGAAGCACTGTCTTAGCAAATACTCTTTCCTCTGCCTTCAATGCCACTTTTCTCCCACTTACATTCTTAGTAAGCTCCTATTCATCTCTCAAAACCCACCCCAGATGTCATCTTCTACTGGAAATCTTTCCCGATTCTTCCTGATGGAGATATTCAGATTTCTTCTATGCTACTTATAAACATCTTTCTATTTTTTCACAGGTATTAAATGTATTTATTTCTTATCTATGACTTCTGTGAGGGAAGACATTTGAGTCTAATTCATCTTGTGACTTCTGTATCCCTAACACTTAGGAAAGAGCATGGCACATAAAAGGCATTCAACAAATGTTCCAGAGAGGCAATGGGCTGGGAATCAATCATCGTTATTTGCAAGACTATTTAAAAACAGAATTGAAGAATTTTTTTCTTCTTTGTATGTTCATTATTGTGACATAAAACTTGGATCCTC